AATAGGTGGTCAGTTAATGTGTGGGGTGGAATACTGGGCCAATGTTTAATTGGACCCTATTTTTTTGAAGGACATCTAAATGGTTTGCTGTTTCTCCAGTTTCTAATAAACCATCTCTCAATATTATTAGAAGAAGTCCCTTTCAATATTAGAACCAACATGTGGCTTCAATTGGATAGAGCTCCGCCTCATTATCACTGCGAAGTTTGGCACTTTTTAAATGCCAACTTTCAAAACAGGTGGATTGGCAGAAGTGGGATTCAAAATTGGCCCCCCCAGATCTCCTGACTTAACTCCACTAGATTTCTTTTTGTGGGGGTACATAAAAGGAATTGTCTACCACACGCTTCCGACAACTTCACACGATATGAAAACACGCATAAGAGACGCTTTTAAAACTGTAACTCCGCAAATGTTGTCCAGAGTTAGCAGTGGTTTTGAAAAAAGAATTTACAAGTGCCTGAAAATGGACGGTCAACATTTCGAACATTTGTTATAAATAATTTGCCTTTGTTTTATGTTTTGTTGATATGTTATTTAACCTTTTAATTCAAAAAAACACCAAATGGTGCAGAGAACCATTATTTGGTATATTTTGTGAAAAGGCAAAAACTTTGTTATCAACATGTCAGTACCATTCGATAGATAATTAAAAATTGCATTTCCTTGTAAGTTAAAAAATATGGGGTTGTATTTAAATTAATCAAGTTATAGTCACTTAAAGTTCTTATTTGATAAGTTTAAATTTGTGGATACCCTGTATTTTTATACAATTATGAAAAAAAAATACAATAGTAAACTTACCATTTTTGGTAAGTTTACTATTATTGGGATATAAAATATGATTTCTTGTTACACTACTCTACCAATTACGTTTTCATAACTTAAATAAATCTAAAGTATTTGACACATGAAAATAATATTAGATTTTGATATAATTAATTTTACTCTTGATAAGAGTGGATAATAAGATTACACACGCACTAGCTTGTTTGGAGTTAACCATTCAAATGTTTGGTGTTCGAGGTTATGAGAACAGGTTGACATTTCGAAATAGGTTCCGTGGTTCAACGATTCCTGTTGAATTTACCGTTTATCCTTGTCTATCTTATTGTCAGTCTGTATAATTCCATGATTACCGGAGTTTTAAATAATTACGAAGCAACAGGTATTTGCGCAATGTTAATTAGCCAGATTACCTTGAAAAACATTGCTGCCGTATTTCTGATATAGTTTTTTGCAAATTTCTCAGTTTTTAATAACAATTAATTTCTTTTACTATTTTTTCTGTACTCCTATAACAGCGCCAGACAACACCTCCAGAGGAATGACGCCAATTTTGAATCACCCTGTATAATGAATAACATCGTTTTTCATGGATGGCCAATAATGGTTTCTTTTTAATTTCTCTAATGTCTCAGCGATGCCTTTATGGGTACATTTTCCTTCGTATTGATATCTAATTAATATCTTACGCTCGTCGGGTTCTTTGATAGTGTTGAGCAATTTTGTACATTTGATTAATTTGAGTCCTGTTCCATAAAAGTTGTGCATATAAAGGTTGTTAAATGCTAGATACATTGAATCATCGTGAAAATAGAGATGAAATATTTTATTGTCCGTGGTGTAAATTTTTTGAAAATTAAATATTAATTCAATAATGGATTTTGGGATGTTAGCGTTCCAAATATTGTGTTTTTCAAAACATTCGTGTTTAACATCAATTTCATTATGAGGGTTATTTGAGATAATTAATTGATATGGCTTGTTATTAATTATTTCATCAAGTATTGTTATTCCATCGTTAGTGGTGTGGAAGTTGCTACTAGTATGGGGTGTTTCATCAGTTTATTCTATTCTTTGTTGTGCACGAGGTGGAACTAGTTAGAAATCTTCTATAATATTTATTTTTGGTTTATGCAATTTTTCAAATTCTTGCAGAATTTCTCTCACATCTGCGGGATCAAGGTGATCTGGATTAAATGTTTCTATGAAATCATCGATGTCGGTATTTATATTTCCTGGATTGTTAATGGTACTTTGATTTTCTACGGCGTTAATTTGGATTCGGGAAAGTGCGTCGGCGTTTGTATTCTGCTTTCCTTTCTTATAGATGATCTCGTAGTCATATTCTTCAAGTTTGAGTCTCTGACTAGTTTGCCATTGTCATCTGACTAGTTTTCTATTTGGTTCTTTTAGATTAAATAACCAAACAAGTGGTCTATGATCTGTATAAATTTTAAATTTTCTTCCAAATAGATATGGTCGAAAATACTTACATGCCCAGACGATTGCCACTAATTCCTTCTCAATGGTTGAATATCTACATTCAGAACTATTGAGTGTTCTGAATAAGTGTGTTCTGAAGGCATAAGCTATTGGTTTATCGTTAGGTACATTTCCTTGAGATAATACTGCTCCGATTGTATAATTACTTGCGTCTGTGCTAAGGGTAAAAGGTTTGGTGAAATCTGGATATTGTAAAATTGGAGAGTTTATGAGGAGACTTTTACAATGATTAAAAGAGTTTTTGAAATCGGTAGTGTGATTGACGGTGGCATTTTTCTTTAAGCATGCTGCTAAAGGCTTCGTTATTTTGACAACATCTTTTATAAATCGTCTGTAATATCCTAGAAGTCCTAAGAAAGATTTTATTTCTTTTTGTGTCTTTGGAATAGGGAAGTTTTTGATTGCTATGATCTTATCTGGGTTTGGTTTTACTCCTTCAGTTGTAACTACGTGTCCTAAGTATTGTACTTCTTATTTCAAAAATTCGGATTTATCCATTTG